GTACATAGCATACATTATTTCAGTGCTGATATTGAAAAAATATTGCTTGATGTTTTCCATATTTTACTTGGCAAACATGGAAAAATATTCATCGTTACGACAGGTAAAGATGTTGTCTCCATGGTATTCAACAAGCAGTTTCATCTGTTGCCAAAAGAGGCAAGGGTGTCTTTTGGGGACATTGTTCTCAAAATCCAAGAAATTGCCAAGAAACATAACTGGAAATACTCGATCGACACAAAAGAATATAATCTTGATGTAGCAAAAATATTCGACGAGGAATCGAGTGAAGGCAACATAGTTCTTGACTGTATCACAATGATTCAAAACTTCCGGTATTCGGTTACAAGAGAGCAAGTRAACGAGACTTTGGAGGCGATAAGAGAACACGTTGCAGAGGAAAAAGATGGGGAATATTTGTGCAGAGGAATTTTTCATTTCATCGTAATTTCAAAAAATTGATCGACGTTTCATTTCAAGATCTTCAATGCGGAAACATGATTTGGAACAACAAAGAGAGTTAATAGTAAATGTTAGGCAAACATAACAATAGAGAATAATACAGGCACAGCATCTTTAAAAAAAGACATTGACCAAGCCAAGGAAAACCGTTAAATTAGAAAAATGTATGCTAAAATCAGTGAATAAAGATGATTCAAATAAATTGAGTTTCTAGGGTCTGGTAGACTATTGTTGTAGCTCAGCGCTGGAAGAAATAACGGTCTGCACGCAGTCGAAACTGGTTAATTCCCCAGCCGCTAACAAGAATTGTGACATAATTCCTCGTATGGTATATGGTATAGTTGGACAAGGTCCCAACATCATGACTTTAAATATGCTAGCAATGATAATGAAAAAGTCATCCACGAGGCCTAAATTCCGTGCAAATCCATTTTATGCAGCCATATCATACGCACACACTGTGTCTTACAGCAAAGTGGTTGGCATGCCGTGTCATTACTTAGGGGTAAATAATGTGTCAATGTCTGGATCGCCCCAAGTCGTCTCTCTCGTCTTTTTTCTAGTATCTCGATAAGCTTCATGGGATGGTGAAAGAGAAGAAAGGGAGACGACGTTTCTCTTGTTTTCTCCATCCCTTGATATCTTTCGCACGCGAGATAGGAGAGAACCGCTACAACAATTGGGAAAGAGTCAGTGTCGACGTGGCTATTCCAACAGTAACATTCCCAAACGTTGCCAAATCTTTTCTGGGGCGCGGTTGTGCGAAGGGTGATGAAAAGCGCTATATCCAACTGATAAATTCTTATCCAAAGGATAAAACCAATACAAAATCTAGAGAATGGATAACTTTATCCACTGGGAATGCCCTGGATGACATTATCCACCCTGCATATACAATCGTCCCCTACTGATGGTCAGTTTCTTGGCAATCAGTAATAAATTGTTTTGCTTGTTTCTATAGAAAATCTTGATTCAAAAAGTAGCAGCGGATCGAGGATTGAGTTACCAGGAGGCGGATACATCGAGCTCCCTCATTGTGAGATTGACCCACGTGACCTGAATAAACAGCCTCGCTGTCATTCTGATATATTCCAAGGTAAGGCTTTCTCTCATCATCTTGCTAATGATAACTGAAATTATCAGTCCAGATAATAAACGGCAGCGACATGACCTTCATTTCACGGCCTTATATTTTCTGTTATTTTGTCTAGATGTAGACTTTGGTGCTCAACCCTCGCCGGCACATCAAAGAAATCAGGTAAGATTATGCTTAATTTTGACCACACCGACTGTTTCAGTCACATATTTAATAACTCTGGCCTTTGATAATCCTCAAATGGCACCGCGCCTTTATAGGTGTTTAAATTTACCTCTATGAAAAATTTATAACATTAARTATTGAGGAAGAATTACGATAAAATGAATCAGGCGTTAAAAGCTTCCTCTGCCTTAATCTTTCTACATACTAGGATATGCAGTCAGCACTTCTCTCCAAGATTCAAGAACTGGAGCGCAAACTGGCTGACAAAGACGACATCATTCGACAAGAAGAGAAYAAAAACCAGATTCTTCGAGAGCATTTGAACCGATTTGTCCAGATTGCTGACGAAAAGAACATGGAGCTGTATAGTCTTCGGTTCGAGGCTAATGGGGCAATCAATGAATTACAAACACGTATATCACAACTCACGACACAAGTCCAGGATCTACGATCTGAGGTAAATGCATTAAAGAATTCATAGAGAATTTGAAAAATTTCATATTCGGCACTCACACGAACAGCAGAGTTTTGATCCTAGGAAACTGTCACATACAAATTATTACAAATAGGCGATTTGCATGATTGCGTCACATAGTACCAAGACCAGAATGCTTTAMGCACTTTCTATTGTAATGTAACCAGTACCAATTCTYTTGCAAATCTCCAAAGGGATCGAAATCTCAGTGACCGCGGGGGTGGGTGCCGCAGGTGCAAATGCCAGGGGAGCCAGCGAAGCAATTAGATACTAGAAATGCTAGGAAAAAACGAGGTGTGGGTGACAATAGTCGGGATATCATATATATTGCTTGTATAGATGGTGCCATTCACTTAAAATACAAAATCATTAYAACGGTTTGTTCCACAGGTCAACAAGAAAGAGGCTGAGTGYAGTGAAATGCATTGCCAAGTAAAACTCGTGGCTTTGCAGCGAAGCATGTTGTCCAAGGAGAGAGACGAACGTGTAAATCTCCAGGAAAAAATCAAATCTCTTGAAAAATCCATTCAAGATTTAACGACAAAGAATACCATACTGGAACACGAATTGACAGTATTGCCCAAAATGATGTCATCAAAGGTATATTTCCTTCTTTTATGCGTTTTGTAGTCTTTTGCACTTGCCAATGTATAATTAATAATTGATTACATCAAGTATTTCAACAAGTACAGTATGTTTTCATTTGGCACATTGAATATGTTCGACGTTTTTTGTAACCCGAAGTTTGCCCTTCAAATTTAGCCTGATTTCCAGACGGATCTGTACCCGACGCTCACGCGTTCGCGTTGGAACCATTCTAGTCTTCAAATCACGCTACTAAAAACTTCCAACCATACTCACGCTGCTTTCTCGATTCTCTAGGGAACCCCAAAAACCATCGTCAAAGCGCAGATTAATCATTGCGATCCTGGGGACCATCGCAATGAATCATGGGATCGAGCAGCTGAATTGATGACAGGACTACTACAAACAGTGGATGAACAAAAGACACGTCACCGTTACGGCGACGACCCAGAATGCATTGAAGTGCTGGAGAGTCATTCCACGCAGGCGCTGGCATGTAATGACAATACTTCTTACATCAAGGTAACTCGAAAGAACTTGAAATGAAAAAATSGGTAWTAAGCAYTCTAGAACTGCAATAATAGGAGATGCTGCAAAGGAGGCTACCAAACATAACGGCAATATTTCAATTTTGTTCAAATTATATAAATTTGTGCAAAGAAATACACGGGAAAAGATTATTGTGCTTAGCTTCTTGCTAGGTGCATGAAYTTTMACAACAAGGTGGTTGTGAAGGACTTTCAGTGCGTTAGCCATCTTSACTGTCCGAGATTATACAATTTTCATGGATACAGAATAATACTTAAAAATATATTAGTCCTGGTAGAGGAAGCTGACTTAATTTCATCATCATCATCATGGCGGCCTCAGCCGAGSCTCACGTCTGGAAGACTTAATTTAAATAATGCAAATTCACAGAATTGTACAAAAATATGCTAAAATATAAATGCCATTKCTACGAGAATTACAAAACCCAACATCAATACAGCAGAGCGATATCAGGTTAGCATTAATCAACCGATGTATCTCTGCTTTACAGAGAAGCAWGTCGTCGTCATTCAGACAATGGTTGAAGAAGAAATCACCCAAGACAAAGAGAAAATAAATTATCATTGACCCTGATTATGGAAGATAAACTCATGAATTTTATATCGTTGTATTATTTTTCTACATATAAATAATTGGAATTAAATGTGCTTGCATTTTATAAGAAATTGTATTGCTATCAATAGACTTCAATATACCGTATACGCAATGCATTGTAGGATATGTTTGGGACAAAATATGGCGGATTTCTTTCGGTTTTCTCAAGAAATTATCCCACAATGCACTGTAAATCACGCAGGTGACGTGAACTGACTTCAWGTCTATTGCGCATGGACRATGCGATAAGATCAACGATCAACCTAAAGATCGTTTCACAAAGGCACCTMAATATCCTTTTGCAGACTGCAATTTTTAACAAATATTGAATAACCTTTGGTTTTATTTAATATTAAACTGAATTATAGCGCAATTTCTTTCCACAAACTTTGCCGGGCGAGCGAGTTGTCGTAGACGAGAACATGTTAACATTTAACATGCAAAGTTGTTCAAATCTGCGGCTAGCTGAAATGCTATATCATGATACAATATTCATTAGATTTGTCAGGGAGAGAAAACCACTATTTTGATGCGAGACAGAAATTCATTACTTCGTGGACAAGAGAARATCTTGATTCTCACTTACGAAGCACTCGAMTACCGGMTTCAAAATGATGGACGTTGTCGACCAATTGTCTTTGGCYAGTTCTAAGAAGAAGAAAAAGAAGATCGTTTTCAACGATGGAATGGTAGATGCTAGTGATCGCGGAGCAAGAAGAAAAGTTGATCCCACGACGGGGATGATTCTTGTGGCTGTATACTGTGTGATCATCTTTGGATGCGCTATWTGGACGAGAAACTACCTTGTCGCTCTGCTAGTTCCTGGCGTTTTCATTCTGTAACCATGAGGGAACCTTGTTCAAAATGTACGTTGTCTTTTCATGGGATTTGTTTTACATCCAGTAGAAATCATTTATTCTAAAATGACAATAATTACTGGAAGAGTAAAAGCCATTTGAACTGAAATGCAAGTTTGACCATCTAGAAGACAATCATCGAGGCTAAAAATAATTCAAAATGTACACAAATTAAATCTGAATGAATTCGTTGAACGGAGGCGTTTGCATMAATCTGAAAGCCAGTAAAAATCATGTAAAACTTCTAAATTATTAGTGAGGTCGCCAATGTCCTATGCAAAATAGTCAGAATTTTTTATTTTCCGACGACGCGACTCGTTTGAAGGTATGGGGGTGCCGGGGTTTTGAAGAGGAAAGGTTCCAGCTGAGTTTTTTGTTTTTTGCGATTTCAAAATTGTGAAGGTGCCGATCGACTGCAAAATAGAGTATTTAGAAAAAAAATGCGTTTACCCATTGATTGGGCGAGCAAAGCCTCATATTTCAAAGAGTTCGTCTACCGAGGAAGGTGGGTTTCCGGACCACCACTACAGAAGCCCCTCTCCAAGTCAGGTATCAAAAATTTTTATCTTAATTTTATGTGCAAAGAAAAAGAAAGTAGCTGAAATAATAACGACACAAGGTAWATCATTTGTCCAAATTTATTAATCAGAAACACTATACAATTCTTGGATTAAATAGTAGCCTATGGGCCAGAACTATAACAATCTTTAGACTGTGCTATCTACGGTATGAAACGAGTCYTGGAAACTACTAATCGGTTTTCTCATTTACATAGCGACCCCCAAAAGCTAAATCGCACAAATAGTCATGACAAAAGTTTCGTTTTATAAACACTTAAGTTAATTTAAACATTTGAAGCCACGSACTTTCAATCTGGCCCTCTTTTATAAACATTATAACTGATATTTACGTTATGTTTTCTTAGTAGATTTTTTTTTAGAATCAGTTAAATACGAAAGCGATCAGCATGACAACGAGCATTCTACAAAGCGTTAGTTGTCAAAGCACAGCTTAGAGTAACGAGGAATTGCGGAAACGCAGTTGTACGCACTGCAATTTATCGATAAACCTCTCTTAATACTGGTAATTCGCACATTGCTACGTCTGTTGCGTTCACGTTACGATAAAACGTAACAGCAAAGCATTCTGGGATGATGCAGTTCTCGCTCTTTGTGCACTGAAAAAATCACAAAAATACTTTTTTTTTTGCTTCCTTTAAAGAACGTCAAGGCCAGTTGCACTTTTTCAAAGAAAACAAATGTAWTGTGCACTATCTGATCGCCTTACAAAGAAGAGGGCTACACATACCATCATGCTTTGCACGAGAAAATGTCACGCTATACGTTGGCTAATCCTAAATGCACGTCYTTCACATTCACTTCTCATAAGATACTTTAACGACTATAAAACGGCGTCAAATGTGTTTTGTGCATTAATCTTAATGTTAATGTACTAAAGGAAGTGCTTTCTACCAGTTAAGAGGGTTTATCTAACGTACAATGCGAAGAGATACAAACGATATGGAACACACTGGTGGAGAATTATGACAGGATCCATGACGGTGGGTTATAAAAGGAATGGGGCGAGTGAAGTGCAAACATATCTGTGAAACAGACGTGAATATAACGATCACTAACATTACAAAATGGCATGAAGATTTTTACGTTCAATCCGTGAAATACTAGGCTCTACGCAGTTAATCCGTGAAACTAAAATAGTACAAAACAGTGTTAATTTATAAGTACTAATTTCTTTGTTTTCTATTATCTAATGAACACTATTTGGTAGTAATCAGTACTATTTATTTCACGGATTAATTTCATGTTTAAATGAAAATCAAGCTAGTAGTGTTTCACGGGTTGAGGACTGCACTCATGAGTGTTAAGTATATCGATGGACTAAGGTGTTTCAGGGAAAAAATACACATAAATAATAAAATAAAACACTGAGAGCAGTTGATAATCTGGATTGCTTTTAAAATTTTGTTGCACAGGTAGTCCGAAACCATTTGATTCTTTTCGGAGAAAGTTTCGAAAAAACTGCAAAGCAACTAAACAGCCACGTCAAAAACACGAGCTGTGAAATTCATTTGCAGAGCTTATCACGACTGACAACTGCACTCAATCCTCACACTTTCTTCTAAAAAAGAAGACTAATATATGATAATTACATTTAAAAATAATGAAATAGAAACGAATGAAGCTCTACGAAGCACACAGTGGAAACCTGTGCCTGCCGTTATGGTTTACTCGCATCTTCGTGGTTGATTGTTTATCTYTAATCACCGATAATATATTCAAGGAAGCGTTTATTCAAGGTCTTTGACAAACCCATTCGTTTATCCTTTATGGTGGACTGAAGCTAATTGAGCTCAAACATTCTCTGGAGGTGGGTTTTTGCTGTAAAAAGAGTAAATTAAGATATGTAGAACTTCACAGTGTAGAAAGGAGCAATGAAGTCAGAAAATACATTATATTACTGCATAGTTTTCGTACCTATATTGTGGGAATTGATATCCTATACATCCACATCTCGGTCTATCATCTACACTATACGTCTGAACTGCCTTCCTGTAGAACTAAAATGCCTGACAGAAATACCTACAATACCTACAGCTCTTAATATTCGCCGCTAGTCTCTCAGCGCTTTGCACTAGTCCCAGCAAAGGACATGGATCACGTCATGTGATAGATTCAAAATAATTTAGTGGACCCAAGCTAAAGCGATACAAATCAAACCAATTCTCGATGTGGTCTGTATGTGTGCTTTCTTACATTTCCTCATGAAATATTAATGATTGATGAGATAGAATGAGCTTGTTTGAGGGCCGAATAGACTTCTGAACCTTTTTCGTCACTACTTGATTTTCAGTGCATTGTCGGATCAGTTTCAAGAGAAAACAAAAGCAATCCGCCATGTTTTATCCCAAACATGTCCTACAATGCATTGCGTACACGGTACATGACGTAAAACCTTCAGAGGTCTATTAATGGCATAAAGTTTGCCTTCAGCCTTGCAGCATGGCTACACGAAAACTGTCGTTCTGCTATAAATACACATTGAATTTGTACGACAGTTGTAGCCATGTTGTAAACAAGCCATGGGCAGGTTACATGCGATGTTCGTAGGCAAAAGTTGTACCGTGCAATTGGGCCCTTGTGGTTTTTTTTGGGAGTTTTTAGTGATATCACTTGACAAACCTCTCTGTCTATTTTACTAACATGCCTGCCTTACCTACAAATGGACTGATCTASCTCTGTAATACGGTCTGCTTCCCTGTACCATATCAAATACATTAAAACTACGATTGTACTTACTTCAGCTTTTCCATCTCACTACTAGGTTTGCCATCCGGTGAATCTGAAATTAAGAATGAGATGTAAGTATATTCACACTTGCCATGTACAAAATCACTTGATTTTATATACAGTAGCTCCATGACACTAAATCTGCTACGTTGTTGTATTCTAGATTGTATGATACATTTTATCAATCAAAGTACGCTCCAGATTCCACTCCTATATCAAAATTTGCTTCCAACGACTAGAACTGCATGAATTTTGATTCCAAGAGCCTGGATTCTGGAATGGAGAACTTGAATTTTCATAGATATCAGATTTCGAGTCATTGAGTAAATAGAGACTTGTTCACACAAGAAAAGCTTTAAGCGCGTCAATCAAATCAATGTGTCAAATCCCGGCAATAGACCTCTGAAGCTTTTACGTCATGTACTGTATACGCAATGCATTGTAGGATATTAGTAAAATATATATCAGTCTTAATCATTGTATGATATGTTTGGGCCAAAACATGGCGGGTTTCCTTTGTTTTTACCATAAACTAGCCTTGCAATGCATTGCAAATCACGTAGGCGACGTGTAAAATGTTCTGAACTCTATWACCATTGTGATTGCTCTGTGAGATGATGTTGATTAACTATAGACAATGAAGCGTCCTCATGTCCCACATGGGATGAAGAGGATTGATTGAAGTATATAGACAAGCCCTGAATTTCTATACCATAATCTACATATTAAAATCAATGGTTTATAAATAAAAACACCTAGATACTTACACTTYTTTGCACAGCAAGCTCTCTGACAACAAAAGATAACACCACAGCTATTGAAGAAACAGCAGAAAAGATCGATAGTGATTAASACGATGAGGAGAATAGCAATGACAATGCCTGCAATAACTCCTTTGCTAAGACCACTGGTTCTCTTGCCAGCAACTGGGGGCTCTAAAAGGAAACACAAATCAATACAAGAAAAAAATAGCTATTGTAGTAATGGTGAGCTATGTGCAAGCTCCTCGATAAAAGCATCGCCACATAAGCCTTTGCAATAGTTGTCATTACAATTAYATGCAACTGATTATGGGTTGAAGTTGTGGCTTTCAGACAGAAATAATAGATTCGCCCCAAAAGCACTGACTTCAATCCATTGTTCAAAATCATTTTCACTAACTGAAATAACAGCTATATTAAASTATCTTTTGTTTACAAGCTTTCATTTGAGATTGATGACCATCTTAGTAATTCTTCACTTGAAAATCTTCATATTTGTTGCAACTTGACATTTTGTGTTTTCATAAATYACAGTATTTATATAAATTAAATTGTAAATGTTAATAATGATCACACAGTGACAGTACATCATAAATGTCAATCACCAAATATTTTGAACAAGAAAGTGAATAATGCATATTGAACTTCTAAAGAGCATGTTCATTCTGCCACAATRGAAAGAATTTTGATCCCACACGAAAGAGCAGCTAGTCYAGCTATAGTGCATGTCGGCACATTGATTCAAACTGATTTAAAACCTAGCAAAGGTCTATGATGCGAAATTAAAACTGAGACCTTTGCTAGTGTTGGGCTGCGATAAAGCGCTGATGAACTTGATCAGTTCTTTATATCTGATATAGAACTGATTAATAAAACATCAGTACTTTATCGGATATAAAGGCCCATCATGTGACCCAATAGTTCGATGCTCATTGGACTAATAGCTCATGAAGTATTAATGAGTTCTAGAATTATTGAATACAACTCAAGCCCTTGATATTCTTTGCTAGCCAACATACAATTAAACACATGCTGCTGACACAGTCCTCTTAGCCCTCTTTAAAGAGAAAAAGAAGGCAGTATAGAATACAATGGTGCTATGGTGAATTGGAATTGGTTAACTTCCTAGTTTTTTTCTATTTCACTGTGTACATGAATAGCAAAAAAACCTGTTTTACTGGAAACAAAACCTGTTTGTTGATTTAATTTGGGTTATTAGCAGATCAATAAACAACATGCATATCTCACAGAGCTTTCTTTTCTTTTGTTCTTTGAGAGAGTATATGGCTGACATGTGTTAGCAAAGTAAAACAGCTGCTCTTGACATACATAATAGAGCAAACACAGGAAAACCATGAAATAAAATCAAACTAAATACTAACAAATAGCTGCTATTTAGGGACAATTTGTMAGTATCAATGAACCAGAACATAATGAAGAAGAATCCRCATGGGACTATTTTTAATTCATCTTGAGTGCGTTCTGGTTCATTGATACTGACAATTTGTCGATGTTTGTTAGTATTTAGTTTGATATWATTTCATGGTTTTCCTGCGTTTGCTCTACGGCAAATATTTGATTACTAATATAAACAAAGTAAGGTTTACCATACCACACAATATAGCTGCCCAGTCCCATGCTAWAAGATTAAATATTATAAAGCATGCAATATTGCCAGCAGGTTTATGAACAATGCGACTGGATGAATGGAAGAGAAATGAATTGAAATGAATGTAAAAATACCAAACAWAAAATTTACTTAAATTTGACACAAAATAATGAATTTAAAATGGAAACATAAAATATAATGGAAAAAAATACATTATGTAAAAAAATTATGTTTTTTTAATGCTTAAAAGCAAAGAAAAATGTTTGCAAGTAATTGGAAATTGTATCAATGAAGTCTGCAAACTTGCCTTTGGTTTTCTCATTCCCTGGAGATTTAATTTTGTAGAAAGTTAGAGAGTTAATATTATGGGAAAAAATGTGTGATAAACAGACKGAGTTTGATAACAAAACCATTTAAAATATTAGCACTGTGGCAATGAGACGAATGRATGTATGAACAGTTGTCATTTGAAAACAATAAAGAATCATCACTTGAGCTTATAAATCTTGGATTTATATGTTTCAAATAAATTCAAAGGAAGGCAAAAATTTATGTATATTTGAGAATGGAAACAAAACGGTTATAATAATGAATGGTGCTTTTAAAAAAATAATATTTGTTTAAACTTAAAAAGGAAAAAATGTCACTTTATTTATTTTTCAAGTTGAATGTAACTCATTTAGCAGGAAAATCAATTTATGAACAATTAAAATGACAAYAAATTATCAGATTGCGACGKGTATTTTTATTGTTTAGGATTGGAATGTTGCAGAATCAGCTGAATAAGGAAAAGCAAAATTGCTGACACTTACGGTGATCAGGTAAGGTTGGCAATTCTGCAGTTGGATGAGGTTTAGAGTTACGAGTATCAGTTGTGCTCAATACAGATGAAGTTGTGCTCGTGGCATCTGGACCAGAATGATAGACAATTTATGCAACAGAAAAAACCCTGACAACTTTGAGAAAGCAGAAAAAATAACAGCAACATTGCTGAATAATAAGCTTATTGTTTATAATTAATCAAACAAGTAGATATTTTTTATAAATTTTAGTGCTATTAATAGCAAAGTTACAGAACTTTAGATTAGGAGTACTTTTAAAATATTTAATATTATGTTTAGTATAGACACAACTAGCTTTTCTAAAATAATATGAATCCTGTTTGTAGACTTCATAATGAAACAAATCRTTTTCAACATAACGTTGGCAGAAAAAAAATGTAGATGTAGATTACTTGCGGMAAAACGTGACTAAATCAATTACAAAAATGTGATATCAAAACAATAAAGCATTGTTTATATCATGTAATTAGGTTGCTATATAAAAATACAGCTTCCATGTAACATGCAACTTGTTATTACRCATAATGCAACCACTCAATGCAAACATGCAATAAATTAATGTATTACCCATTAGTGCTCAWKGCATTGCAAACATGCAATAATTTAATATTAGAGGCCCCATGCATTGCCATTTCATTATCTTTTAGTTGTGCAATGCGCTTTGTAACAATTGCACTAATCTTTTCCTAAACATTACAAACATGCATTTTAAATGCAAACATACAACTGCATGCACCAGCAACATTGACTTACGATCAGCATATGAAGTGGGAGTGGACTTTGTGCTACTCACTGTTTGACGAAGCAATGAAAAAACAAACTTACATCGTTAGTGACATATACTTTTAAAAACCTAATTCTCTACCGTCAGCCAGCGTTCAACATTACACATAAAAACACAATCATATGCACTGAAACATACAATAATATTATTAACTCCAAAGTAAATTTAACTACTGTTTTGTTGGTTCTTATACAAGAAATAACGGAATGAAAATAAAATAATTTTCCCTGATGAAGAGAGGCTTCCATACGCCTTTGAAACAAACTTACTACATGTAAATAATGGWGTCTTAAATTATGTCCAATAAGCCTTAAATATCCYAAAATGTATTTCACAGGTTTATGAAGTCCACTATGAATAAATATTAAAGTAGATTATCGATTAGAAAGATTAAATAATYATTATGAATTAAAAGGATTGAAAAAAGTTCAAACATTGTCCTATAAATRTTAAGATACTCAGCAAAGAATTGCCATATAATATTAAACAAGATGTTATTACATTAAAGTTAGTATTTTAAGCTTTTGAAAAATACCAATTTTAATCATTATAAGTAGGTTAGATTCGTATAAGTCTAAATTGAAATTAGCAGCGTTAGATTCCATCTGAAATAAAAATGAGTAAAACAAGAAAACAAGAAAACAGTTCTAAGATTAAAGACTTACTTTCTATTGTCATAATTTCCACAACTCTAACATCAGGCAGGCTCTCCCCGGCTTTGTTTGTTGCTGTAACTTTAAACTCATATCTTCCTGGTTGGAACTCTTCTGGGACTTCAAAGTCTAAGGTTGTTTTTGTTAAATCCTGTGATACCCTCCAGTTTATTGGGGGTTCTTGTTTGGCTCTCCAGTAGACTTTATAYACTAGATCACTGTCAAAACCATCATCCTTTGGTGCATTCCACTTGACAACAATAGTTTTGCCATATTCTTTTCTTCTGAGATTGTAGATMCCYGGGGAACCAGGYTTGCCTGMAAAACATCATGTAACATTARGTATTTTTATTCTTTTGTTGTAGCATGGAGTTTAATTATTTTATTTCTATTCAAAAATTTGAAATGCTTGATGGTAAAGTTTTCATTGACCTGTCACATACACTTAATTAGTATTCTTTACTATTTATTTTGCATGTTTTTGTTTTCATTTTTGTTGTATCACAYACTTTTTGTTACAGCTTAATAAAAAACATGTTTGACCTAATAATCTTATCTTTTTGAGATAGAAAGTCCAAAGGTTCAAGTGTGTTATTTTGTCATCAAAACCTTAAATTTATCAAGGCAAATCTCTCAGACTGTAATTTGAAGCGATGCTGAGAGAGGCTTTGACTAAACTGATGTCAAAACCTTATACAAAAACACTGTTATCACAACTTTTGTTTTTCTAGCTCAAGTTATATTGTGCAATAATATGTGATTTTTTTTACTCACAGTAAGGCTCAGTTGTGACGTCAATTAGCGCTGCTGGTCCATAACCAATGATATTCCTAGCAGTGAGGTTTAGTTTGTATGTGGTCTTTGGACTAAATACATATGGAAGTCTGTATTGACGCTTTTTTTCTTTGATGTTTCGCTTTGTTGTCATGTTGAAAGTAAAAACGTACTGAAGGATACGCATGTTGCCATTACTAAGAGGTGCCTTCCATGACAAGGTGATGTACTTGCAGGTTTTTGTCGCTGAAAGGGMGGTTGGTTTRCCAGGAACACCTGCAAAATTAGGAATAATATGCTTGGAGAAAATGAACTTAGTAAAGGAATAAAAAAAAGTGAGAATGAGCACTACTAAAGTCATAAACTTACTTCCATAAAGGACGTGTACAGTTTGTGTAGACATGCCATGCATATTTTTACCAGTGCAATTGTAATCACCAAACTGTTGTGCCGTCTTTGTTTCCAGGTCATAMTTAGCAAACCCAGTACCAGTAATCAACTCAACTCCATTCTTGGTAATAGTGACAGTTGGGGTGGGAACACCAAAGAAATAGCACCTCAGAGGTATTGTGTTGGGATTGGCTATATATGAGTAGACTTTTAAGGTGGATTTGGCATCATTGATGGAAGGCTTAGCTATAATTTAAAACAATATAATGATTGAATTAAAAACTAAGATACACATTTTCATCACCCCATGAGAAACAATCCTAAGTTTATAACTGTGAAGCAACTGAATGGTAATAAAACAATAGTCGCCTTCACGGTTACCTGCGCCATCTTGAAAGGTAGCCGTGTCTTTGCATAGAAGCGAGACAACCGTTGAGCGTGCAATGATAGAAACCTTCCTTCACACCCACAGACAATTATTCACAGTTATCTATCATTGCACGCTTAATGGTTGTCTCCCTTCCAGGTAAAGGGACGGCTACCTTTCAAGATGGTACAGGTAATCATGAAGGAGACTATTCTTTTTCCATCTAAGTTAGCATTAAGATTTTTTGACAAGGCAATAAGACATTAATTTTGTACAAGTTCACCCAATAGCAATTATCCTTAAGAAAAATCTGTCCATAGAATATTGACAATTTTTGTCACTGTTTGTGAACTTTTTTACTAGGTTTGTATGTACCTATACACTTCACAAATTCACAAAAATTGGATTGTCTACTAGTTTACATTATGTGACAGCTTACTTATAGACAAGAGTTCAATGGTCTTAGATACTGAGATTTCTTTGCCCCGGTAAATCAGTCCATTCTTGATAGTGCAAGTGTAGTTGCCAGCATCTTTGTTCTCAACATTATCAATCTTCAAGACAGCCTCGTTCTGTTAATACAACAATAATATTTATCAAATTCATTAATAATTTATAAAGTAGCATTCAGATGTTTTAGTACTTTGGCACAATTCCTTTTGCACAAATCAGTTGAAACATTTTTTATGAGTGATAATATACTGTAAGTTGTCTTGGATACAGTAAACACCTGAAAATAAGAACCTTGTTTTTTGAAAGTCTGGCTAAAAAGGTTCTTGTTTTAAGGGATAGTTGTTGGTAATTTTGACAAAACAGGTTCTTAAGTTCTAAAATCAGACGTTTTGATTGGTTGGCTTTCTTATCATGGATGTATAGATGACATTCGCACTGCATGCAGTTATGTAATAACGTATTCGTCCYAGCATTCCAACTCTTTTACTAGCCTTAGCTATAATATATTTCACATTTGTTTATCTTGTAATTTAGCACTAACYCATATTATAAGAACCTGCTAGATGATATTTGGCTAAAGAAGTTCTTATTTAAGGGCTTAYTAAAATGGCAAATTTCTGACAAGAGGTTCTTAATCCATTAGGTTCTTATTTTCGGATGTTTACTGTATCGACAAACAGGTTGTTTTTAGTGTAAAGTAGTATAATTTACCTGACTGCTTGCTAACAGTTTGCCATCTAAAGTCCACATTAATGTTGGTGTWGGGTCTCCTTTTCCAGAGCACTTTAGTTCAAAAGTATCCCCCACATTAGCTTTGTACAAATTTTGAGAAAATGGATCCAATGTTGGATTCACTATAAGAATATTATAAACACACTTATTAACTATCGTTGTGAATATTACAAACAGTTTGATGTGTCATGGAYTGTATAGAAAACTGGCYTTCAACAAACACCTTCACAGTTTTTGTAAACTACTTGAAAATTTTCATGAAATTTTATTTAATTCTTTTTTGTGTCCAAATCATGAATGACTAATTAATGCATTGKTTAAAATAATTTACTATTAATGATGTGGCTTTAATTATTTTTTATTAGAGTATTAAGTTTTGGAAAAATATAGTTGAACAATTTCAGCATAACATGATATGCAAAATTGGCCTTTTTTTCTGACAGGACACTTGACCTTTGTGATATATYAGTTCTTTACAAAAACAACTTTTTGACAAGTATTTATGGACATTTTTTACACATGCTTCAAAACACATCTGTAGTCATTAAATAGTTTTCCTATAATAACGTTTTCYCAGACCCGCTCACCTCCTAGCCTTTCAATCTCCACAACAGCTGACATTTCTCCAGCAGAGTTCTTAGCAGTGCACTTGTATGGGGCCACATCCATTTGCTCAAGTTTGGCAATGTTAATACAGTTTCCTGTRATACTATATCTACTATTGGTTGTATCAAACTGAACTGTGCTCTTGAACCACTGAAGTGTTGGTGTTGGYAAACCAGAGACATTGAAGCAAAACTTGTAGTCGTATCCTGTGACTCCAATAATCTTGGCTGGCTGTGGTGTAGAGATGAACTTGGGCTTTTCTAATAGAGGAAAATATTGCTTTTAAGTGAAACACTGCATGATTGTGTCATCACTGTTATGATGGTGCTCTAAAACTAACCCTCCAACAATTTGGCATTTTGAAATAATTTGGTTGGCTAGAATAATTAGACACTTTTATAGCTTTATACTGAATGTCCTGATAAGTTACAATCAATTAATTGCCATCTTTGGGGGTAAAGATTTGGATTAAGATTTTTTTTGATAAGACAGTTTTTTAACAACTGCATGAATGACAAATGGGATTTTTTCTACTAWTTCACCTTGCCTTAATTTAGGTATGGCTAACTTTTGATAATAAATAGAAGTTTGCCAAAYGATAGAATATGGTTGATTCATAAACACTATCAAACATTTTGACGCAACAAAACATTGTATTACTAAATAGCCAAATTGTTTGATGGTGGAGTAGAATATTGTTGGAACTTGATTGGACATCCAATAATAATCAATACTTAATATTGATAAAATATATAACATTTATCAAGACGGTTGGACAGCTTAAAAATGTGCGATTGGTATTCAGTGATTGATCATTTCTTATTTTGCGAGCTGTGAAACAGACGGTACTTACTTACCAACAACTGTTACAGTTATCTTTCTATCRACAATGTTTCGATTTTGCCAGTTGATATTGACATCATAAGAACCAGCATCGCTCTTTTGTACTTTAGATATTTGAATACTGCCATCATTTAACAGTTTCAGTCGACTATTAGTTTTGAAATCAATGTCAACATTATCTTTCTTCCATTTAAAGACTGAGAGTGGATATGACAATGCACCAACAACAATTTTCTCATCTTTGCCGTTATGTAGCTGTTGAGCGGTCTTAAATCCATTTAGGTTAACTAGACAAAGTCAAAAAAATAATAAATTAGTAATATTACAATTAATTTTTATTTCAATGATGTTTTCCACTGATTCAAAAATTTTGCATTCTACCAGGACCAAAAATGTATGACTGACTTTCATTAATGTATTTTTAGCTATAAATTGTTCTATTGATTCCCGAATATGTATTAAAATACACAAAGTATTTTTTYGGTTGTAACATTACACCATCTTGCAAACTGCTTATTGTGTTTTTATTACATAGTAAACTTATACATTATTTCTAAAAGATATTAGCAAAGTTTTCATTAACTTGTCAAGTACACTTTTATGTACAGGGTTCGTACAGATTTTTTCATACAAAATTCAAGGAAAATATGTAATCAAGGACTTTCCAAGAACCTAGGTCAAAAATCAAGGACTTTTCAAGACTGCATGAACCCTGACGTACTACACTTTACTAAGTCTATGCATCGTGCATGTCTCCTTTGACTGCTATACTTTGCTTTATGGTTTAATGAAACCATTCTAACTTATTACACTAGTATTATTTTAATAAAAAAAAGTAAAAAAAGTATTATTACTTGTATTATTATAGAAAGAATTACTTACATCTGATAACTATTTCAGTAGTTGCTGTATTTGCTTTTCCTCTACACTCATACACACCACCTATTGAAGAAGGCAAGTTTGGCGGCAAGTAGAGGTAGTAGATTTTTTCATTTGGTGATATGCCATTGTCAACATAAATGCCTGGCTGGTCCTTTATGTCTTGCTTCTTGGCAAATTCCTTTATCTTTGTATTATTCTTAAACCAACCAATAAATATTTCGTCTGAAACAGTACAGGCAATCTGTGTTTCGTATTGAGGTGAGTAGTTTTCTTGTTTAAATGGTATTCCAACTTTAGCATCTGAAATAAAGGAACAATTCTAGTGAGTTTTTTATAAAAATAAAAAATACAACATCAGGCAACATTTCTGAAGTTTGTTTTTTCGGAGTGTCTAAATGTCAGGCTGCAGCCTAACGTTTAGTCCCAGGACTAAACGTCACGCAGTCGATTTTTTTAAAGAATAATCGTCGAAACAACCGTTGATTTTTTTGTGTGAAAAATCATCGAAACAACCGTAATTTCAATTAATACCACAAGAGAAATGCAAATCTCAAAGTGCCGTGTGTTGGTGTATACAAACTTGTCGAATAGTATTATTTCGGTCTTTATTACATTTCTCTTGTTGTATTAATTGAAATTAAAGTTGTTTCGACAATTTTTCAAAAAAAAAAAATTTGACTGCCTGACGTTTAGTGCCGTGCTTGTGTTTGAAACTTGTCGAACAGTATTATTTCGGTCTTTATTGCATTTCCCCTGTTGTATTAATTGAAATTACGGTTGTTCCGACGATTTTTAAAGAAAAAATTTGACTGCCTGATGTTTAGTCCTGGGACTAAACGTCAGGCTGCCTGACGTTTAGACACTCCCTTGTTTTTTTTTTTCACTTTTCTAGCTATTTTTAAAATGTGATTTTTTCCCCAAAACAATTAGTTCTTGGTTGAAGCTATGGTATAACAGCCCTCCCCATATAGAATTTGGCCYTATGCAGGGTTTTCATTTGAMACAGATCCCACATCTATTTTGACCAAATGGCTACTTTTGCCAAATTATGGTAAAGGTTTAGAGGTCYCTTTATAATTTATATATAAGGTTAGTTTTCAGAACATTGTGGAAACTAGCAKTAAACTAGTGTGAGCTGCATYGGTGTTTCTCAAGATATAGTTATTTAAAAAGATAAATTTAACACTGTCAAAAATAAAGTTAAAAAATAGGTTWTTTCAGAACAGCCAACGGCCTATATGGTTATAAATCATGCATGTCTCATATCCAAAAAAATAGTTAAAACAAACAACTACTTGATCTATGTAAGATTCATGTGTCCAAAAGATTTTCAATCGAATGAAACCAGTTTACTTTTTGACATTTCAATAAATGCACAAGGCGGAGTGCTGGGTTTTGCCACCCAATGTGGTCAGTTAGCTTTTATGGTTACAGCCACATCACTATGGGGACAATACATAATTTAATAAATATTCCTAAGGACAGTTTTAGCATATGGTCTCTTGACACTTTGGTGTAGCACTTCTAATTCAGTTGGATTAAAAGAACTGAGACTGTTATTGATGTACATGATAATTTTCAAAATTTTATGTCTTGTTCAAATTTGTGGGTTTGTTAAAGGACAGGCACTATAATAATGAACTTGGTATTAACAAGAAATGTTTAACTCAAAATGTTGTGTTATAGAATACTATAAAAAGATAAATACTTTTTTATACATTAAAGATAAAAGACAGTTCAGTTTCAGGAAAGACTCTTTTGTATTTTAATAAGGTATTTTAATATGTTTACACACTTTTCAAAATCCAATTAACTGAAAAATATTCCTAGCCAAAACTATACATCACTTAGACACTTACATGTACAGAAAAAAACTGAAAATTTTCAATATAATATTGCCATGACACCTAAGGTTTCATCTTAAGCTTGGCWAGAAAACAATCTGTCATGAAAAGATAAAGGGAACTTAATTTAAATATGACAGCTGATCCATTTAATTAGTATGTAAATTGGTTACTTCATAAGTCTTAATGATAAATGGTCTTTTGGTCTTGTTTTATATTAAACTTAGAACATGACTTATCATGAAAAAAACAGGGAGACATAATATGGTGTGAACAGAATATGGTATCTTTTCAAAGTCATAAGTGTCTTCCTGTTTGGTAAAGCAACAACCAAAAATAACAAATTTTGACACAAATRTTCTTGRACATTCTAAAAGAATTTACTGTTATCAAARATTCTGGTTATGAAAAACTCATGAAAATTTGATAATCAACATCATATTCATCATTTATATGATTAATTATTTTGAAGAGCGACATATTCTRATATCGATTTGTTTATCAAATATCAAGACCTTGCAATTGCAAGACTGAGAAAATACCTCGGAGATTCCTTGCAGTAGAACATTAATGCATAACTAGGTCGATCACAATTTATAGCAAAACAAAATAAAACAGATGAGCAGTTGGATACAAACTGAAATKATGAAATACTTTAATTKSAGCATTGTTTATGCAGGCAGTYGGACTGAATTTTTCTGCTTAAATTTCAAATCTAAATTTCTTGGATGAATTTAATTTGGCAGGTGTTTCATAAAATTATCATTAATGCTAGAATATTCTGATCTATAATTCCTCATAAATGAAAWTAGGAGGAATGAAACGTTTGGATAATAAATAATTGTCACAAATTGTCAAAAACATGCCATAGTAATATTTTTATATTTTCTTACATTTGCTCTTATATTTGCTTCAAACCTAATTATATCATTTTTATCTCTTTKATAACGATTTTTACTTTTGAGTGATTTTATAGAGTTTTGCACTGTTTCAGATGGTTTCAAGTGATTTCGGCATCCGCCAGCTAAATGTGCGCTTCCACACCTTCGCATGAACTAAAGTGTTTGCAAATTGAATTCGTTTTAGAGAAGGTCCCTTGGGACTTCGAATCGTAAGCTCTGGAGAAATTTGAGACATGACAAATAGCCAGTACAAAGTCAAAACGAATGTTCAGAAGTTCGTGAGAAAGATTATCCTAAAATGGCTATTCCTAGACGATTGAGATCAACATTTAATAATATAACGGAGGGAGATTGAATTTTATGTTTATCAGACCGTGTCTGTYTATAAAGAAACTTTCTATTCTAATACTCTAAGAACATACGGAACAGAGATTGCCTCTGTTTAGGCGTGCAAATAAACCTTTCACATGACTTTTAAAGATATGACAAATTAAACAGCAAACATTTGGAAAAGCACTGTTTATTAGATGACTTTCAGGAGTGGATAGAAAGCACTATTTGCTAAACGTCGTTAAAGACTCCAATTTTGGCGCCGAAACGAAGCGAGGCAACAACTACGACACGGGCACCAGAAATGGCATGCAGTGACACAGCAGAGATGCTGTATTTGAATGCATAAAGACCTTTAAATACCTGCTAACATCGAACTTAAAGAAGTCAATATTAAACGCAACGAAGTTGAAAACAATGACAAGTTTCTTTGTCGCGTGCGTGTTTTCGCAAGTCTGTAAGCGTGGAGAAATTTAAGCTTAAATCCCTAATCAAAATGGCGTCCTGAAATCGTTAAGACGCCAAGCTGAGAAAGGAGATTACAGAATTCAAAAACAACGTACCGAAGAAACAAATATCCCCAATAAAAGATTTAAATCATGCAGAGTCTTTGCAACTCAAAGAGGAGTGCCGATAACTTTCAAATAGTCAAATTTTGAGCTCACTTCAGAATCAAGCTGCAGAAAACAAGACAGATCGATGGAAATCTTTTATCACAAGAAATWTGAAACCGAATTCTCTGCGCTGTTCACTTTGCCTGTGGTTTGCCTCAACTTCTGTGGCTGTTGAGAACCCTTTCACAATCGTGTTTCAAAACGCTTATTGTATGCTAAACGAGATGCGCACCTTCTTCAGCACGTACCTGATTGCAGAATAAAGTTTACTAAAAGCACAGTCAAAATTGTCAACTTCTCCATGACAATGTAACAGATGCCGATGACCAAGAAAGGCCAACTCCACGCTCAAGATCGTTGAGCTTTTCAGTCAAAGTTGTTAGGCTGAATGCAGCAAAAATCCGACAAAAGATCGAAGAACGCCGAGTCTGATAAGAACGGTCATGCGCAAGTCTAGTCTTTATGGAGTACTTTGCATTAATTAAAGTATCTGCATAAATTATCTATTGTTTGAACTCAATGGTCGAGTGGCTAGTAACCATTCTTTTGACACCTCAAAACAACTAAAACAAAGAGTGCGTACTTGGAATATACATATTGTTTTATACTTGTTAACTCAATTGACACACATTCACCGAATCAAATACCATCGAATCTAAATGACAATGAAATGAAGTCCAATTTCGCAATCGAAACTGATGTTATATGAGAATGTTGTATCAGAATTCATTTCTGCTCGAGATTTAGAATCGAAATCTCTAGTATTTTTATTTTCATTTGGATTGCAATTTCCGCTCTATAGGAACCGCATATTTTCCGTTCCAACCTCATTAGCATCAGTATAAAGTATCTCTTCAGATCACGCCAAGTGGAGGCACAAGGGCGAGACACATACCTCTTTCTCGKAACAAAAGACCGCGTTTCCTGCCGTAAGAGAAAATTTATTATTACTCGGTTAGGAGGACTGCGACTAGCTTTTATTGCCAATCCAGCTGGTCGCCTGTYCCCGCAAGTCCCCGAGAATGTCGCGACCTAGTCATTTTTTTCAATTATCATACCTAATTGGGCTTCCTGTGTTGGCAATATAATGAGATGTCAATATAAACAGTGTTTAACTAAAGCTATTATATCTTTAGACAAAGTCATGGTTTATACTGATGGTCAACTCAGTGTTGAAAATTAAAAGAATGGAATAGTGTTGTGGGGTTTGCGCCGGTGGGAGGGGGGGAATGGGGGACTCACTTATAAAAGTTGGTAGGTATGCTCGACGTACCTTTTAGGGTCGAAAGTAAAACCCTCGCGTACCTTTTAGTGTCCTGAGCTGACTCCGTACCTTTTAGGGTCTATTTTCGAACAACGGGAAAAAAATGATATAAAGAAATAGTAGATTTTATTACCCTCAAAAATCTATCGACATTGATTTTCTACAGTTTGTTAAATGAGCTTTTCTCTTGTTAAAAAATGGTCGTACCTTTTAGGGTCTGGAATCGATACCTGAATTAATTTATGCGTACCTTTTAGGGTCATTTTTTAATCCGTCCGTCGAGCATACCTACCAACATTTATAAGGGAGGACCCCCCCGGGATTTGCGCGGAGATGCGTGCGCTAAGATTTGTTGCAGTGCGCGTGGGTTTTTAACGTCATAATGAGTATTTCATACGTACGTTTTTCCAATCCGAAAATAGTTTTGGAAACGCTTAACTTCTTGCAAACTGTACAGCATCTTTGATAACTTTAAAACTATGAGGGAAGACGACAGGGTAGATCCTTTAGAAGCTCAATTCGAAGCTCAACAAGAACTTGCTTCTCTTCATYGCAAATATCGGTGCCTGTCCAATGATAAAAGGACTTATGCGACCGAAACGCAAAACATCATCCGACGACAAAAGGCGGCAATTGAAAAGTTGCTGCGAGAAAAGAAAGAATTACTGACTTTGRGMAATGTAGCTGGACGGCTTTGGAATAAGTGGTGCGACGAAAACAACTTAAATGAACTGAACAAACTGCTGGATAAAGAGAAATTAGTTCAAAGAGACATTGATWTGGAGAAGGAATTTATTTCAAAGTTGGACGAAGCAGAGAAGATCCTCGAAGAAAAAATCATCGAGCGACGACGATCCATGAAATCGAGTYCCAGCTTAAGTCAGGCGAAGTACATTGCTACAAAGAAACAGATTCGAGTGATGAAGAATCGTTTGGACAACGTAAATAAAAAGGTCAATTTTGCCATGGCTGGAAATCAGATATTACGAGAAAAGATTGATAGCATAATAAGACAAAAAGACCGATTCCAGGAACTCTACCTGCGCTTGGAAAACAAACTGTTTGACGTGAGTTATGAAATTGAAACAGTATCGGAAACWACAACAACTAACTTTCACACAAGGGATGAGGCTCAGCACCGCATGTCGAACTTGCGTGAACGAGAAGAAAGGGAACTAGCTATGTTTAAGAGTGACGTTAAAGACTTTGCGAGAGCCATCGAACATGATCGCAAACTACAAGACTTCATGACTGCTAAAGAGAAGGACTGCACGGATATCCTTAGAGATGAAATTATGACGAGAGAGATCAAAAAGMTGGGTATTCACTTGGATGGTTTGAGCCTGGAARCGAAGAAATATGAAAAGGTTTTTGAGAAGATCAAGGAAGCCACAGGTATCTATGATACCGATACACTTGTGTCGTCATTCATTGARAAAGAGGATACKAACTTTGCGCTRTTTAATTACGTGAACGTCAWGAGCACTGACATCGAAAGTTCTCAAGATGAAATTCACTTCCTAAAAACCGAAATGGAAAACATCGAAAATGAAGCCATTGCCCGTGATTTTCGGCGGAAAGAAATTTTACGTGAGCTTGAAGTACAACTTAGAAAATTAAAATCACAGTTGACASCCTCGCAAAGGAAGGCGAAAGCTGACGAACACGTCTTGGAACTAGCAAAATCAAAAATCGARAAGCTCTTTAAGACCAYCAAGTGTGATCGCACGGCCATATCCGAGCTTCTTGGAGGAGGTACAAGTATCGATGACTACAATGCCGTTCAATATTTAGGAATCATTGAGCAAAAGTGTAATGAGCTTCTTCAAATCAARGCGCTACATCGACTCAAAAWATACGGGGAAGCTGACCCTAAAGAGGTGCATGTTTTGGAAGGGCTTCTTCAAGGYGSAGGACCACAACAAGCACACAAAGACTTGTCCATAGTTCCACCCAACACTGACGAAGAAACCGATCTAATGCTGCAAGCCTCCGATTATAAACCGCTATCCATGGAAGAGGTTCACGTTCTTTGCACTGAAGTTTCGCAGAGGGGAGGACTAAGCAGAGGAGTAGGGACTGGGGTTACATCAARGCAGRTCAAGAAAAAAGCAACCATAAAGACTTATTAAATTTTGTAGTTATTGACACATTTGTGCATGATTAATTCTTTCTCTTGCATAGTATTAACTAAAATAATTTATCAAACTAAATACAATTTATCAAACTAAATATCACTGTTGTGCATATTTGTCTTTGGGGGTAGGGGATATAAATGAAAGTTAATAATGTTTGGTATTTTMGTCCTCGGCCATTGACCGCAGTGACAGAGATCGGGAAGCGCGCGAGCTTTAATGTWCAGTCCCAGTCCCCTRCGAAAMCGCATCGATTCAAAATGGCGGACGAGAAGAAGAGAAAAATGAACAAAGCTGTAGCTTAGGGAAACTACCTTTATTATGGCAGGTAGAAAAACAGAACCATGTAGCAAAGAAGCATGTGCAATACAGAAATGTCTGCAAGGTACTTTGTTTTTTTAAAAATGTTTCTTTGACTCTCTTTGAACGTAGAACGTAGAATGTTCATCCAAACTTCTWCATCTTTTGCCTCAATTACAATTTTGTCAATTAAGTAACTTAAATTGCAGAGAATCATTACCAGGAAAGTCGCTGCAAGAAGGTAATTGAATTTCTAAAGGAATGTTGCCAGAAGAATTCTGATTCAAATTCAACACACTGCTCTGGTTTTGATAGAARMTCCACTAATAATCAGACWACAGCTAAAATACGTTTACATTATGGCACCRTCATGAATKAAGCACAGAATTGATCAAARTAGATTTAGAGATTGAAGATTTTCGTTGATCCTAAGGAAATACCAATTCCAACCTATGATGTTGATGGCTCATTTTGCACAATAACATGGTCTAAGCCATCTGCATTATATTCCACTTGACACTAAAAGTATCTAGACATCTTAGCTGTCCAGACTAGTATAAAAATGGCCAATGGAACAACTGAGCAATTTTGTAACAAATTCCTGACTAGACGTCAGCTGACAGACAAGAACATAGCATGAAAAAGGTAAATGAATTTTGTATTTACTGAACAATTCATTTTTGTTATCAAATAAGTGTAGATCTGAGTAGATATATAGACCTAAGTTACATGTAATTTCTTATCATGGCAAAACGTTTGTTGTCATCTTCTTTTTATGATAACAAATGCTGACAAATATAACCAATATTAAGATGTCAACAATCAATGTGATTTATAATTGGTCTCCCTGTGTCRAAGATTTCCACAGGAAGACCAATATAGTTTATCACCTACTATAAAAGTGATAAACTCAAACAACCTCGTTCCCAGGGCTACTGGGATCCAGGGGAATGCAGTGAGCTTGATACAAAAGGGCTTCAAACAAGACAGTTTTTCGTCATTGCCTTGGGCAGGCAAGAAGTACAACCTCTTGTATTCTTGGGCGCATGGAATTGAAAACTACTGATTTGAATCAACTCACTCAACAATCAAGATAAAAGAGGATCCACTTTTCTCATTTTTCTTGTGGAGAGCACATATTAATTATTCATATCTAACTTTTACATAGTTATTGAGAAAAKCAAGTCCAGTTCTAGATGAAGACTGGAATAATATACCTTGAAATAGCTTAATAAAATATTGCTAAATTAGCTCTACTAAAAGTAATTAGTACTAATTTTACAAAGAAGAAAAACAGTCTTTGACACATTATTATAATATGAGAAAAATAATTGATAGAATAAAAGAGAATAATAGTGCAAAGTCTAAATATCAGCCTTACATTCTCACTATTGAAGGAAAAACCACTGTCGTATGGAGAACAACAGAATCTTTTGTGCTCAAATGTTCTTTTTAATTTGTATTTTTCACTTATCTAATTGAAATGTYCTTCCTATCAAACTGTGGAAAACGAAAACTTTATTGTTTTGACTAGCACCATTGGTGGTGCATTGAATTTCTCAAAACTTGAAGAATTTTGATAATCAGAAAACTTTGTTTCTATTTGTTTTTATTCACCACAAATTGCTATAAATTGTTCTTCCTAATGAAATGGTTGTTTGAGTATTTTGTTCAATTTTCATTCTAAAAGTTTGGAATTTTATATCAGTTGTAAGAAAAGAAACGTTTACTGTGATTTTATACACAAAATACAAGCTGCCATCTTGAACCTCACCTTGACACGTGACATCACCAATGAGGTCACATGGGCCATAATTACGTTTTCCTGGTAATCCCCTTCCTTGTATCAAAGCTGTTTCCTCTTGTTTTTGTTTGTGTGTCAGTATATRAACATTAATTCGGTTAATAGTTCAATAAGTCAGTAAATTAACAACACTTCAATRCAATGCAGTTTTTGATTTCGTGATTTGTAATTGGACTGATGTCCGGGTTTTGTATTCCCGTTTTATTAAAAGACAGAGAATCCCCTGTGATTGTGGTAACGATATGCATGTGTTTTACGGGTTAAAATAGTAACTTTGCCACACGAATTTACCGCTAATTATGTGAGTGACTACGTGAGTTGTTTTYGCGCCTACAGCKGGTAAAACTAAGGTAGTTTTTTTCAATTGAAACCACTATTCACTAACTAAAAGAACCAAAGAAAAAGCAAAGACTCTTCAAAACGTGAATAAAGCTCATTTACTTAAAACCTTTTTTCTTTGGACTTAAACATTATTTAAAAAGTCCTAACTTAGTTCATTATTTGTTGAATTATTAATGATTGCAGAGCCACTCAGCTCGTCGTTAGTCCTTGATAAGATTACATAACAAATTTCAAATAACAAATCAATACATTTGCCTATGAAGACTGGGTTGATAGCGCAAGTGTTTAAGTACTATACTCAAATAAAAATGTCCAACCCGGTGGTTGCGATTCTATAGTATTTGCTAATATATATAACAAGTCACATGGAATGATTTGATTAGAACTTTGCGTGCTGTAAACATAACTGCGACATATTTATTATTCACAGTTGTCGCAAAGGGTGTGGTCATTCCATATAACATAGCCCCATTCTACATCTACTATGTCCTACAAAGTAGCATACTCGTGGCTTAAATTTCTAAAAATATCAACATCAAGATTACTGGATATAACACTGATTAGAACTCTAAGATTACGAYCAAAACAACGGCATCAGTGGAATAAATCAACACAAAGCCACAGTAATGTATGTGCTTTCTGGTGAGGATGTTTCGGTTAAGTCCTAATTGTCCATGGTTTGCAATGACGCGAATCTGTTCAAGTATTTTCTCGACTCACTCATTAGACATTATTGATGACCACATAGGGTCGACCGTCTTCCCGCCTGCATTTAGTCTGTTATTATTGGACAGTAAATTGTAAATCAATTAAACAAATGTACAGAACTGCATTGATAACTAAGTATAAACGGGTTTAGTAACAAAAGCTTTTAAAACTCAGCGGGCAACGAAGAAGAAATTATACAACTCAGTACCAGTGAAAGTTCCTGGGAAGAAGAAGAAGRCGGTTTGGGTTTTGAGAAGATAAGGTAATGTTCGTTTTTTAGTTTTTTGTTTGTTTTGTTAAAAGAAATCATTCCTGTAGTTTATCACACGACTTCAGAGTACCGGAATTTCTGTTTCAAAAACGGTCACGTCTAGTGCATCGATTTGTGCGCAACATTGTGTCGTCCTGATGAGCATCRWTYAAGCTGAARTCGAGCAAAAGAAATTTTAGTGTTTTTTTTTTCTTAAATAAGAGTAATGCAAATCGACGATGAATATCTCCCGATGGTATTCTAATCAAGGACTCATCTTGAAAAATGCGGTTAATAAGATGTATCGAAAATCTCTCAAACAGCGCATCGTTGCGAGTACAATAATCAAGAATACTGTCATCACATTGAACAAGGTAACTTTCTAGACGAATTCTCTCAGTAAGAACTCAAAAATTTCACTTCCAAAATACACCAAAAGACTTTGGATTGTATAGATATAAKAGAATTCGATGGTGTTCGKTAATTTGGTGGGTATTCTGTTATCAGTSCGCTTCTCAAAACTTAATCACAGATAGTTCATAACGCGATATAGATCGCAATTTGTCGTTCAGCTATAGGTATTCATCGAGCACATCAACGAAACGAGAATTAGATGGAAATCCCACTTGAGACGATGTTTACAATGTTTTTTTTGTCTGCCATTTATTTATGTCAAAGGGCGTGCAATTTTGATAAGYGTTCGTCGCGTTTATAAAGGTTTCTAGTATTTTATACATAAAATACCCCACAAGAAGCGGCCAAAAGGAGATGTTCCCAGACGTGTACAATAGAAATTGCGCAATGATTCGTATTGGCGCCAAAATTCATGCTTCCATCTTTACCTTTTTAAACACTGTCACGAAAAGTGGCGCGTTCGAAGTGAGAATTACAAAATTCATGAAAGCGAATTAAATTTTCGCCTAACTTAAGCTGTTAGGCTTTCAAAATAAAGGTGAACAACCAAATTCATTTATCTTGCTCCGGCTGTAAACTTAGCAAATGATGACAACACAAGACACTCACGCTGACTGATAATTGGCGGACTACCACCGTCCTTCATCAATAATGCAGTTTGATGAATTACTCAAAAAACTCTAATTCTGTTGGCTGATCAATTTTTAATAACGATCTAGAGAAAAGTATCCATACTTATTCATCGCTGAACTTAAAGGAACGGAAAACGTCGATAATTCAGGTCGAGCAACTTTCGCGAAAAGGAGAACGTTTGCAACGCGCAGGCAACAAAAAGGCTCGGGGTTTKTTTGAGCGTTTGGTCTCGAAGTTTAGCTTTTAAACATGTTTTACAGATCCGTGGTTAGTTATTGTGTTAAGCTCGCGAGGTGAGAAGTTGTATCTTTAGATCTGCCCTGAAAGCTGTCTCACCGCAAGTACAGCACTTATACCGCAGTATTGCCGAAGTTTGTCCAACAGCCAAACTTTGACACAAATACAACATTGATAACATGTGACCTCACCATGTAGTGGTCAAATGCGTCAAGACCACCTCATTGTATAAAGTAATAGCGTGCTCTAGTTTCTAAAAATCAACCCATATGATTTTAGTTATAATAAATCGTGATAACAATGATCCCTGATATTGATATTTATCAGTAATGGTATAAGAAATTAAATGATATAATTAACAATGCCGTGAAAATAACAATTAGTAATTATGAAAAGAATCAAG